TGTTGTCCTTCCCTAGTCATGTTGTCTTCATGACAAAGAAGTGGCTCTCCATATAGTCCACACTTTCCAATGCAGAATTATGGGTTTCTTAAAGTACTTGCCCTGAGTGGATGTACGTTTTGGTATCTTACCAAAGACTACACATTTTTTCCTCATTTTGAATTTGATAATTCAAGTTTTCTTTTCAAAGTGTAATACTTTGTGCTTGTCTTTATTGAATTTCACCTCACTATTTCGAGGTTCTTTCTGTGATTTAGCAATGTTAAACCTTTGTTCAAATCCTTGCCTCCAAAGTGCGGTACTACCCGACTCAGTGTTATTTGCAGAAATTTGAAGTCAAAGGTCAATTTCACCGTTCAAGTCACTAATTAAAGTAATCAATCCTAGCAGACAGATCAGATCTCTTAATTTCATATACCTTCCTATTGACAGGAAAATATCCACTGCTACAGTTTGGGAATTGCTTTTCAATCACACAGCCCTCTCATGTTAATACCATCTGAGACCTATTTGCCTTTATGAGAGTGGTGTTCAAGGCAATGTCAAAAGCCCTACTGAAGTCAAAATATGTTTCATGTATTCCTTTCAGCACCTACTAAGTCAGTTATCTTGGCAAAGAAATAAATTAGATTACTTTGACATGATTTGTTCTGGACAAATGCACACTGCCTGTTTCTCATCACTTTATTGTTATTTAGTTGCTTGCACACTGATTGCTGAACAGCTTGTTTCATTATCTTTCTAGATAACAAATGGAAGTTGGCCGATTTGTAACTCTTCACTCAGCCCTTTTGATAAAGATGGGTAGCCCGTTTTCCCTTTTCACTTCCACCTGGATCTTGTTCTTGAATGGCAGCGTGTATTTTGGAAGAAAGAGCTAGTCCCTGTAAGAGACAAGATGCTGGTCCAGACAGACCATGGGTCTGGGTCAGTGGAAGTGGTATGGTATTCTTGTATGTGCCACAGTACTCTGGTGACAGGGGACAGCGGGGGCCATGCTGCTCCCTAAGGGACAGGGAGCTGAGTGCCGTAACATGGCCAGCAGAGCAGGGACCTCACTGGCCAGGGCCCCATCCCACAGGATGTGAGCAAGGGGAGCAGAGCAGGCCTGGAGATGGCAGCTGGGGTCACCAGGGAGTCCAGATCGCCAGACAAGTCCACGGCAATGGGATAGGTCTGAGGTCAAGCTGGGAACATGAGTTAGCGAGTCACGTCCGGTGATGGCAATCAGGGACGGGCACAGCCCTGTGATCAGCAGGCAAGTCCATAGCAATGAGGCAAGTCTGAGGTCTGGCCAGCAAGTTGGTTGACAGGTCCGGGTTGATGGGATACAGGCATGGCTGTCACGCAGCTGTAGCTGTAGCTGAGGCAGGGCCAAGCTCCGGCCCCTCAGCTGAAATGCAGCTCCCATGGGAAGGGGGAGGTCAGCCCTCGCTGAGGTCTCACGGCAGCCCTGCCTCCAAGGTCACTAGAGGGAAAGGGGGCAGTCCTCAGCTGCGCTATCTCTAGGTTGGCAGCAAGCCCAAGGTGCCAGACCTCCAGGAAGGGTGATAATGCTCTCAGGGCCCTTTCCTCTGGCTGTGTGGGGGCACATGTTTCCTAACATGGCCCATTTTTCCAGTATAAGCAAAGCCCAGGGTTGTGAGTGTCCCAGGGGAAGGAGGAACTGTGCTGAACCAGAGGCTCACAAGAGTGTAGCTTTGGGTTTGGGGGTTTTTTGTGATAGCACAAAAGTAGAAAATCTCACTGCTATAGGAAAAAAACACAGTAAGGAACTGACATTTCTCCTCATAACCAGTGCTGCAAAAACATCCAGGATAGAAGAAAGATCTTAATTACAAAGGAATTCCACAAATCGTACTAGCTTGGAAGGGGAAAGAAAAAGAGTATAAATGTTTAACAAACCAAATTGTTTGGAAACCTGATGGTTTTAAACCACTGCCACTTGAATATGTAGTCTCCATCTTATGTAAGCTCCACTGCGAGTAAATGGATGCTGTAGATGCTCAGCTGGTTTCTGCAGAGATAACGTGACATTTTCAGACTCTGCTGTAAATGCAGTGTGAAAAACAATAAGAACTGTAAGGTAGACAGGCTTTTAAGATATCTGATAGAACCTGCTCCCCATTTTCTTACAGGTGGCTGAAGTGTTTAAGAATAGGCTGATTGAATGAGAAGTGTCTCTGGCTTGTATTATATTTGCTTGTATTAGGTATTTAACATCTATATTTGATTGTAATTAATAATAGCAGAGAGGTTTAAGAGGTTTCAGAGTGGATGATGTATTGATCTAATTGCGCCTTTATCGCTTTCTTCTCTTTTCAATAGACCTTGTTCTTCAAGACAATTTAAAGCCATGTTAGGAGAAAATTCCAGATGCACCCTTAATTTATGCTTTTGGGTTCCAAATTTTCAAATAAACAGAGAGCAATGAATCCAGTGCATTGCCTTGCACATGTGCCTAGGATCAAGGATTTGTTTTACCACAGGCTGAACACTGCTGTTCAGTTTCAGGTTGCATATGGTATCTATGTTTAGTGTCTAGATGGAAACTGAAGTTCAGGTGCAATCTCCAGTATAAAAATACTCAGCCACATTTGCAGCACTTCAGCAGAGACAACTGCTGATAGTATTTCTGTCACTTTTTTTCCTTCCTTTGTAATTTCAATCTTTTTTGTATCATATGCAATGCAATTCCTTCCTTCAGCACATTAACCATTACCATCTTCAGCAGAGACAACTGCTGATAGTATTTCTGTCACTTTTTTTCCTTCCTTCGTAATTTCAATCTTTTTTGTATCATATGTTCCTTCCTTCCTTCCTTCAGCACATTAACCATTACCATCTGCACCTTAGAATCATAGAATCATAGAATCATTAAGGTTGGAAAAGACCTCTAAGATCATTGAGTCCAACCATCAACCCAACACCACCATGCCCACTAAACCACGTCCCTAACCTTCACATGAATCTTTTTACAGTGATGTTGGTAAAGCCAGAATTAGACTGATGAGGACCTTAAGCACCAGAAAATCTTGGTGAAAGGGAATTTTTATCTTTAAGCAAGGAAGGAATTTTGAATGAAAGGCCGATAAACGCAACATCTTCACTTTCCACATCCAGCAGACAAAATATTAAGCTCACACTGTAATACAAAATGTTAACTCTAACACTTCAGAATAATTTACATCTTGTCACCATGTATGTGACAGGGAAGTGGAGGATCTGTGGCATATTCGTGGGGCAAGTCTATAGGAAATATATTACACTCGTGTAAACTAAATGACTTGTTTAAGAACAGCCAGTTGCTTTGTGGAAGCTGGAAATTCCTTGTGGGTAGGGAGGTACACCCTTCCTCAGGGGCACTGTCTCCTGGTTTCGGCTGGGATAGAGTTAATTTTCTTCCTAGTAGCTGGTATAATGCTGTGTTTTGGATTTACCATGAGAATAATGTTGATAACACACCGATGTTTTAGTTGTTGCTAAGTTGTGCTTACACTAGTCAAGGACTTTTCAGCCAAAGGGACATTCCATACCATGGGACGTCATGCTCAGTATATAAACTGGGGGCAGTTGGCCGGGGAAGGGGTGACCGCTGCTCGGGAACTGGCTGGGCATCGTTTGGCAGGTGGGGAGCAATTTCCTTGTGCATCACTTGTTTTGTATATTCTTTTATCATTATTATTATTTTCCCTTCCTTTTCTGTCCTATTAAACTGTCTTTATCTCAACCCACGAATTCTACTCTTTTTTTTTTTTCCCCCCTCAATTCTCTCCCTCATCCCAGTGAGGGTGGGGGGGTGAGCAAATGGCTGCATGGTGTTCAGCTGCCTGCCGGGTTAAACCACAACACACTGCTAATGAGATCTGTTTGTTAAAACACAGTCAAGGGCCACTCTTTAATTTGATGTCACCTTAATTTAATAGTTTGTGTGACATTCTGCTCTTAATCACCCATAATAGGATCTGAAAGACATTTTTGCATGGGGAAATTTCCAAGGCTTTCTCAGAGGGACATCGAGAGATGGCTTGGGAGGGTATTTGCAGCAAGGAGGGATATTAATGAAACGAGTGAGTGGAAAAATGGAGGCGAGAAGTGGAAGACATGGAAGAGTGACATGGCTAGGAGCAGCTCATGTGGATTTTCCCTGTGGAGTATAAAAAGCCCCCTTCACACAAGGCTGGAGTTGCCAAGGCATTGCCCTACTTCGAGGGGGGGGTGCCCTCTGCACCCCTGAGGTGTCGCCCGGGGGCGGGCAAGGGCAGAGGCTGCATCCTCACAGAAAACCCGAGAGGGAGCCACAGGCACCGGCGATACCTACCCGCGTGGAGGGGCCGGCGGCGGGAACACGGCGTGAGGTGCGGGTGAACGAGGATGAGGGGGGGTTAATAGGGCGGACGTTTCGGGCGGGGGGACCGGGATTCACCGCGGGGAGGCGGTGGTTTGGGGTGCCCTGAGGGGAGCCGC